GGGGTGGCGGGGTTGGGGCAGGGCCGGGGTTGTTTTTGCGGGGGCGGGGGTCGGGTAGCCCCGCGGCGGGGGTCCGGGGTTGAAACCCCTACCCCGGCTTGGGCCCCGGGGATCCCCGCGTGACAACGCTGGCTGCTACCCTCTAGCTGATGTTGCACGGCAAGCAATGAGAACAACCCGAAAACAAACAAAGGAAGCACGGTGTTGCCGAAAGTCCTACGAGTAAAGTTGACAGGTTCCACGAAATGAAGAACCCTTAAAAAATTGATATCATGAGGCTAGGATATTCACATCGACACCCAAGCCTGTACTTGACCAAAACGTCCACTGCAATCCGGCACCTCATGACAACAACAGCACAGCTCAAACCGACTGACTGCTAGATCAAGTGAGAATAGATTCGCACTTCTGCTTATGGCATTTCGAAAAAAAAACTACGTGTATTTTGACAACAGTGGTATCATTTAGCGCCTTGGAGTATGTCCACCGCAATCCTCAGCCGGATGTTTGGAATGTCGCTTTGGGCTATCGGAAATGGTCGCGGACAGTCGTGTGCAAGAAATGAAGCGAAGGCGAGCATGAAAACACCGCAGCTCGACCCGTCCGATTGTTGAGGGACACCACGAACAACCACCTTGGGCTCCTGGAGATCCACTTTCGTTTTTTGACCATAATGACAAACTGCTTCGTCACGGAGGTATTGTGTGAAGTTCGCAATCACATCAGAAGAAAAACCGTCATCGTCTTGTACGAGGGAGTCGTAGTACTCCAGCCGTTGTTCTCGGAGACACAATAGGGTCCAATGCACTCCATGTTTATGGAAAGGAATCAAGACCATCTCGTGCGAGAAAATATCCACATCTTTTGTCCATCTCGAAACCCTATCATGTCGATAGCCGCCACGGACGAGCTTGGTATAGAAAAATTGACTGAAAATATAAAGAGAGGGACACCCAGGCAACACAGCGTTGGCAAGCAAGGCCAAGTACGACTTCACCACCTCGCCGGAAAGCCATTCCCCCTGAACAAACGTTTAAAGACTTTTTCTGCTCAACGGAATTGAACTGACCCCTTTGCGAACCGAGCACACCACCTCGTGGCCATTGCTGTAATCTCCACAGACGTTCCGCAACATTCTCAAGTCCGTAGCGCTAAGCTCCTCAGTAGGCAATGGAACGCGAAAACATGATGTAGCCCCAACTGCACAAACACCCACGAACAAGTGTGAGGAGTGAGCACAAACCTCGTGGTGGAATGACTAAGAACTGTCTGCCCTTTTCCCAAAAAAGTTGTATCCCCGCTTGTTGAATGTGTCCTTCGCGATGTACTTAGGACACGGGTCTTTCAAGACACCCCGTTTGCCATCGTCATCAGACCCG